ATAGACAACACAATGTTCACTTATATACATAAAAATGTACAAATATTTGTTTAGCTTTTCCTCGAGTACCTTATATGCGTTGCCACAGAGCAATTTTTCTTGTAAAATAGCACATATATATTAGTATACTTTACGTATATTATGTATTATACTTATGCACTGTCATACGGGCACAAAGAACACGATTATAAACACTTTCTATAGGTACAGCATATATTATACACAACATAATATACATACACACGTCATATTCTTAAGCATATACATCCACTTATATTGTACAAGTGAAAAATTTCACAATACCAATTTATGCATAATATCTTATGTATATGTTTTATGTAATGATACACTTGAATAGTTCAGACAATATAATGTTTTACAGGGGAGATTTACCTTGCACACCTTCCTCTCCAAGTTCCAACCAGTAAGTTAAAACAACTATACGTCTGAACAAAGTTTCTTTGTCGGTCGTTTTTATTTTTTATTGTTATTATTACTATTATTATTTTTATTTTTAACGTTTAGTTCGTGTGAGATATATCCTTATATACTATATTATACACAATAAATACATATATTATTAATTATTATCTACTTATTTTTTATATTATGGCGTGCAATACGTTATGTTTGCAGTTTTATTGACTATTCTTTCTTCGCTTATACAAATATATATATATTTTACATCATGCGTATGCCGTTTACCTATATTATACATGTATTGATCAGTGGCGTGGTGAACTCAAATATTGTCAGGGAATTTTTTCCCAATACCCCCTCACCGACCAACGCATCTACCCATTAGTTAGTATAAAAATCTTTTATTTTATATTTCGCTTAAAAACTAGCATATTGGCAAACCTATTTCAATGGAGGAGGGAGATTTTTCAACTGTATAACTATATAAGATATTAAAATTATTTATATTTATATTTTTTTTTGTGATCCAGAATAGAATAATCGTATAGACTCTATACTATAGTGAGATTAAATTGTCACAAAATATTTATATTATCATTATTTCATAGGTACACAATATGATAATATTTTAAAAATATTTTGATTGTTTTTGAACTATTAATAGACAAAAAAAATGATCAAAAATTTGAAAATTTAATAAATTATCTTCAAAAGTGGTTTTTACAGGCCATAGCAGTCAAAGATATCAAAAGGCCGTATGATCAGAATTTTTATAAGTGTTAAATTTTAAATAGGTACATTCATCAAAATTATGGATATTTAAAATTATTTTATAAWTAAAAATATTTAACATTTTTACTTTGGGATAGACAATTTAATTTGATAGTCTTTATTTAATAATATGAGGTCAAATACGTATCAATGATAGCTGAAGACATGTAACTTTAAAAACTGATTAAATTTTCAACTATACACAATAGTATGAATAATATGATTTATGCACTTTAAAATCAAAAATATGCATTATGCAATACACCGAATCT